TGTCCCTTTCTGTCCAGTTCTAGGGCTTGGCACCTGTTCTGCGAGACGGGCTGGCGGCAAGGAAGACCGGCTTCTGCAGTCACCTCGTCCTTTTTAACTGGGTTGGTTGACTCCTTCACAGCTGACCTAGAAATAGACTGGCCCATCCCTGCTTTAGAGACTGTAATTAGAAATGCAATTGAAAGGAGTCAGTTCTTGCATTTTCCTGCATAGTGGGAAATTCCCGTCACCCTGGTCAGTCTTAATTTAATGTTTGCAGGATAGTGTACAGCTGTGGAGTCATTGGTGCTCTCTGAGCTTGGTGATTTTCTTGTAGACATTTCATTATAGCACAATCCTTTCTCTGTTTCCAGCTCTTCAACAAGACAGGTTCAAAGTTAGCAGCTAACCGTGAATCTTTTTGCACTTTTTTACTTTAATCATTAAATGTTTTCAACAGCTTTTCTTCTTTCGTGCTAGCATTGATGCTTTATTTTGTTGTTTTGAATGTGGATTAACTGCCAAGGGAAGTGAACATATATAAAAGAGCCTTGCAAGGTCTTCTACTTCTCTGAAATGCCGTTCTATGCTATTATTCCAAGTCTAAGATCCTCATATTTTCCAAACATCCCATATCACCGAACTGACAAATAGAACAGCTCACCGCCTGACAAGTCTCAACGTTTAAATACCTACGGGCAGTTTCACAAGCTTCCAGAGCCCAAAATGCCCCTCAGGATTATGTATCCCAAAGGGCATAGAAGTCAGCCTCAGCAATGAAGATCTTTTATTTTAATACAGATACACAGTTCATTCCAGCTGTTCTTAAGTTATTCACAGTTTTGCTTAGTTCAGTGAGATTTCTACCATGAGATGGCAACATGAATTCAGAAGAGCTTTATCCTTGGTTCATTTTAACCACAATGTTGGAAGGAAAGTACAAGAAAATCTGGTCAAACCATGGTGCCTTTATGAGGCAGGTACAAACTTTTATGATTCTATTATTTAAGAAAACCTACAGCCCATGTTTTGTTATGCAGCCAGTTCTACGGAAACACCCCTTTGCAATTGATTTTCCTCCTTTTCTTAAAATTCCCAGGGTGGTATTACTCATTTTCCTTACATCATCTATTAAGCAACACAGACAAGTAAAGGCTGCTGAGTTTTGTTATGAGGTGTGTAAACTCCACCTACTATGAGTCTTAATAGTTAATGGTTATGCATTGCTTAATCATTTCCTTTTTTTTCTGACTGTGACCATAATGAAGTCTAGCCTAATCTAATCCTAGGATAATGGCAATCTAAACATGTTTTAAGCAAATTTATTTAAAGATATACTTAATGTTTGCAATTAAGAACATCACACATAGGTGTCTTTCCAACTGCAGCCCTGAATTGTAAGAGGAACATGCTAGAAAGAGAAATACAAACCTTTCGTTCTCTCCAGCCACATACTAGAACAACGGTGTCAAACGTAAGGCCTGCAGACTGAATCCAGCCCGCGGAGCTGGAAATGTAAGGGGACGGCCCATGTCACTTTGGCCGGGTCTACCCAATATGAAGACAAAACATTAGGCTAGCGTGGCTTCACCCTGGTCTACCCGGTGCAAAGAGGAAACATGCCAGCAGTTTGGGGAGTGGCATCAAGCTGGCCACACCCACCCAGTCAGACACACCTATCCAGTCGGACGCACCTCCCTCAAGGTCCAACCACAGTCCTGATGCAGCCCTCAATGAAATTGAGTTTGGCACCCCTGTACTAGAAGGAAAGAGAAGAGGATGAGGTGGAAGGTGGAAGCAAGGTGGAAGCTCATTACAGTGGTGAGGAGTGCACCATTGGAGACTTGAAAAAAGGATAGGTTAGAGATAGGCTGCCATAGTTCAGAGCTTTCCATTCTTTTTATGTTCTGCCAATATACCTCCTGGCTTTCAATTCCTGGCAAATTCTACTTTCCCTTCTCACACATGGGCCCCGAAAATGGAATTAAATGTAAGAAAATATCAAGTATTTGCTTAATGGAAAATTATTGCATTATTCTCAGCAGATGGTAGATGCTTCCCTGGAGGTTTAAACAAATATATTCAGTTATATTAATAGAATGCTCATGCTATAAATATCAGAAAGAAATATGCTACGTATAGGGGGCAGAATTTCCCTGTTATGGAAAAGAATGGTTACAGATAGCAATGTAAATAGATTTAACAGGAACAGAAGATCCATGGACCCCTTTATGCTAATTTTGTTTAGCTATTTGAAATGAATCAAATCTGATTCAGACATTGAATTCTTACTATTTCAACAGTCTCCAAAATCAGATGCACTCGAGTTGTATTTGCATATTAAGAACCTCAGCCGCTCTATGTCTGCACTGAGTTCCCATGTGGGCAACTAATTCCCAGATAAGAACGAGTATTGGGTCTAAAATCAGTGCATCTACAAACTTATGCCATTCTTTCCTTGAAGCTCCATTCTATCACAGAAAGATCTCATATTAAAAATTATAGTTAATGAGACACCAGTTTTTGTGGACTTGCAAATTCAGTGGTAATTCCTCATTCTGGGTAATTTTTAATTGTAATAGAGAGGAAGTGGCAATGAAACAAAACTTCGATTTTGATTGCTTCAATTTTACCACTGAAAGAAGTGATATCCATACGTATGAACCCTGCATATATCGTGATCATGAAAATCACTTGCCTGGTTCAGTTCCCTGGGCCCTAACATTATATATACCTTATAGCACTGCATCCTGATTCATCTAGGGCAGGGGTGTCAAACTCAAGGCACAGAAGCTGAATCCGGCCTACAGGGTGCTTAGACATGGCCCATAGGGCCGCCCTGGAAACAGCAAAGGACTGGCCCACAGTGCCTCTGAAGGCAAAAATGGAGCTCGGGAAGGCTGCGTGCAGCCCTCCCAAGCCCTGTTTTCAGCCTTGATGGCCTCCTGCAGTCCTCAGAGCTCCATTTTCGCTAGCAGGGTCTGCAGGAGGCTGTTGCAGCTGAAAACGGGGCCTGGGGGGACACGTGTGGCCCACCCAACCTCAATTTTCACTGGCAGAGAGCTGCAGGAGGCTGTTGTGGCCAAAAATGGAGCTCAGGAACCCATTTTCCCTGTCAGAGCACTCAGGTCATCACAGACGCCCCTGACGAATGATGTCAAGCTGGCCACGCATACCCTGGCCAGGCCCATCCCGGCCCCCGAGGTCATACACAACCCTGATGTGGTCCTCAATGAAATCAAGTTGGACACTCCTGATCTAGGGCCTTTCGACTCCATGGTCTATATGTTGTGAGATTAACAGCCAGAAAGCATATGCAGATGCACGTGTCCACATGCTGTATAATATATACATTAACACCTCCAGGAGAGACAGTAGGAGGCAGGACAGGAAAGAACCCAGCCTTCCCAACCTCTCAACAATTCTGCCTCCAGACTTCAAGTTTCCTGTGGTGGGTGACCCTGATGTCACCATGCCAAGAACAAGCATTACAGACAGATGTGTGTAGTTCAGTCATTTCTGGGGGATACAAAACCAAAATTATGGCCACTGAGCAGTTTCCCAGCCACCACATATGATATTTGGAGAAATAATAAACACTGAGATGCTAGTCTATAAGACTTGCACAGCTATAACTGTCTGCTTTTATAAGAAAAAGAATCAAAGTACAATCTCAAAGAGCATGAGCTCAAAAGAATACAAAACCAAGGCCACATCAATTATAGCAAAATTGTGGATAATAGGACATTGATATATAAGGAAATAGTTATTCTTACCTTTCGGGATGGAGTGAATTACTTTCTACTCCATTCAACATAAATGTGTTTATTCAAGTATTTGTTCTAGATCTGAATTTATGATTCAATTTAACTACAGTTCTGCTTTGTACAATGTGCCACCCCAAGAATTATCTTGTGCATAAAACAGAAACATTTAGAAGTCTGAGAAAAATAAATAAATAGCACAAGTCTGCCACCTGGAGTGACAGAGTTAAATCTTGTTGATGATCCAAGCTCTGTAAAGGACCTTGGAATACTCACCTCTAATGATCTAAGTGCTAGTGCCCACTGCAACTACATAGCCAAAAAGGCATTAAGAGTTGTTAACCTAATCTTACGTAGCTTTTTCTCTGGTAATATCACACTACTAACTAGAGCATACAAAACATTTGCTAGACCAATACTCGAATACAGCTCATCAGTCTGGAACCCACATTACGTATCTGATATTAGCACAATTGAGAAAGTCCAGAAATATTTCACAAGAAGAGTTCTCCACTCCTCTACTCGTTGTAGAATACCTTATGCCACCAGACTTGAAATTCTAGAACTAGAAAACCTTGAATTACGCCGTCTTCGGTCTGATTTAAGCATGGTATATAAAATCATACATTGCAATGTCCTACCTGTCAATGAATACTTCAGCTTCAACCATAACAACACAAGAGCACACAACAGATACAAACTCAAGGTTAACCGCACCAAGCTTGATTGCAGGAAATACGACTTCAGCAACAGAGTGGTCAATGTCTGGAATACTCTACCTGACTCTGTGGTTTCTTCCCCAAACCCCAAAAACTTTAACCTTAAGAGTATCTACTATTGACCTCACCCCTTTCCTAAGAGGCCTGTAGGGGGCGTGCATAAGCGCACCAACGTGCCTACCGTCCCTGTCCTATTGTTTCTTTTATTTTTCTTTTATTTTTCTTATATGTACTCATTTCATGTATTCATAATTATGTATACACTTTTACTTATCTCGTAAACAATTGACAAATAAATAAATAAATAAATAAAATCTTCAATAAAGCCAAACAATGCAACTGGAGGTATGACATACCGTGCCACATTGTACATCAAAATCCTATGGTATATCTATGGGAAAATCACATGGAAGCCAATGGCTCTTTCCCTCAAGCATCTTATTTTTCCAGTGCAAAAGAAGAAAAAAGGGGGGAAATGTAGGACTGACCTCTGCCCAGAAGAAGGGATGGATGAAGTGAGTACTGCCTTAAAGGAAAACAACTATTTAATCTTTCTTTCATATTCAGGGGAGTTGTTCACCTTTACAATGTATTTGGCGTTGGTGCTGTTCAGTCACCTATCTGAAGCGAACAGGACTGATGTATTTGAAGGAGCTCTTTAGCAAGGGCTTCCTTGTAAATTAAATATCTTTGAAGCTGCCACTGGTTCCTGTCAAATATGGATTCATATTTTTTTTTTGTCCTACCCTGAACTCATGCAAAATGCAGGGCTGTCCAGAAATCAGTTAGTGCATCCCATGCGAAGCTCATGTGAGTTTTGGGAAGATGAGTAATGAACACTAGGACCACTCGATTTTTCCTGGACCTACAGTTTTGCATTGGAAAGATGCTTCTCCTTCTCATACCTCTTGGAATTTTCTCCTCCTTTCTTTTTTTTTAAGTACTACTACTGGTACTTGTGGTACTACTGGTACCATAAGCCGAATCACGATGATGCCATTATTTAATTCATACAACACACTGAAATCTTAATTACACAGGGTGTGTTTCCCTGAGTTGGAAACTTTATCTTTTTTTCCAAACAACGACACACCACACACCCTTCAGCACTGCATTGCTGTGCCATAAACTGTACGTAAGGCAACCCTTCCGGCCTCCACATTGGCTCAACCTCTAC